CGAAGGGTAACGTAGTTCTATTAAACTTAATATATATATATATATATATATATATATATATTGAAACACAGTTTTTAGTGTTATAAGTATGCAGATTTAACGCTGTGCCACTGAAGAGAAACAGTGAAAGAAAATTTGTCCTTTAGATTATGTTCAAATTTTACAGTTATAAATGAATGACGGTATTTTCACGAGTTTCTTTTTCCAATTTAAATAGACAGTCTGGATTTTTCTTAAATACATTTCAAATAAAATTTATAGGCTGATTACAGATGAGTATGATTTGTCAATCTCGAAACTCAATTGATCCAGTCCTCATCACTCAACGCTAATTAATTATAGTCAACTCCTAATTACACAGTACAAGGACATTGAGTACAACAGTATCCTTTTATGGCTATGCAACAACACATTAATGCAGAAAAACTGACAGAAAAGAAGACATAATGAAGATTTATGTTAGGTATATTGACATGTTGCCTTACTTGAACTGGTTGCTTCCTGAAAACGTAATTTTCACATATTATTCTCCAAGTATTTAACAACTGTGGTAACTTTTGAGATAGCAATATTAGTCAAGCTGTGATACTGTATTGACATAATGTTTCCCTGCTTCACTTAATGCTAATACACAGTATTCAATCTAACTAATATTCAACATTTGCCTTGTAAAAAGCTACTTTACTACAATTCTTATTATGAATAAAATATTAAACCAGGTGGTGCCCTGTTTATTGGTGTTTCTTGGACTCAGAAAATAGTTTGGTCAAATATCATGAATTCATTATCAATGCATCTTCAGCATTATATTTTGCTTTCAACTATATTAAATTTATTTTTCTTCAGAGGGAGATAAGTTCAAACAGTTTAAAATCATATAATGAATGATACTTGATGAACATTTAAGGTAATACTATATGCAAACAACCTCAATATATTTGGTAACACTTTCCAAAATTTACAGTTATGTCCATGCCTACTACTCAGAATCTTATTACAAGGGTCTGTCATGATATAAAAAGACTGTTTGGTTTAAATATTAGTGATTAATTTATATTTATGAGTGAATACTTTACTATTTTTAAGTTTTGTTGTAATAAGAGTTAAAAGCAGATGATTGCAGAAGATTTTGTTAATAACTAATTCGAGTCGAGAATATAGAAAGTGGCAAGGGGTCTATGTAATAAAGATATAAACAGCGTGAGACGAGTAGGAAGCAGCAGACAGACAATAACAGACAGATAATAACAAAAGAATATATCCGTGTGAAGTTAAGAATCCATGAAAGTGATAGGCCTAATGTTTAATATGTTAGAGTGAAACTAACAGTATAAAACAAATAAGAAGGATAATTTTATTCCATCAAAGCGTGGTTCTAAAGTAATTGAATCAGCCTGGGTACACTTTGACAAAAGGAACAAAGGATCTTCAGACGAAAGAAGACCAAACAAATTACAGTAATTTGCACCACAGCTGTAAGTGAATCACACACAGAATACTAGTACGATAGTAATATAGAGAAGATAGTTTGACTTGTCAACTGAAATTCTAAAGTAATTGAATAGGCCTAAGTGGACATTTGACAAGAAAAGAACTATATATAAATAGTGTTTATGATATGCCTGTAATTTCTATAGTGTGAAGACTTTGTTGTACATACGTTTAACTTGTTCCGAATGTATATATATTATCTGAAAACAAGTAAAGTGTGTGCTGTTTATTCATCATTGAATTTATCGCTAACAAGTCACAGACCCCTACTGTAGAAGAATCCTACGCCCAACAACAACATAGTATATATTTATACTATTAAGAAATATAAGTAA